TTTTGTGATGGAAGATGGAAACTCTCCAGGGGCAGTTTGATTATGGCTCGAGGTAAGAAGCAGAATTCACTTTATGTTATGCAGGCCAGAGTATGTAGCGGAGATGCCAATGTAGCAGATGATGCCTCCGGTGATTTGTGGCATAAGAGGCTTGGCCACAAGAGTCAAAAGGGCATGCACATCCTTTCCAGGAAAGATTATCTCCCCGACATTTTAGGTATGCCTTTAAACTCTTGTGTTGATTGTTTGGCTGGAAAACAACATAGAGTTGCATTTCATACTCGTCCCCCACATAGAAGAAAGCATGCTTTAGATCTTGTTCATACTGATGTTTGCTCTATGGATGCTAGATCACACCGTGGTGCACAATATTTTGTGACTTTTATTGATGATTTTTCTAGAAAAGTGTGGGCTTTTGTTTTGAAACATAAAGATCAGGTACTTGAAGCTTTTAAGGAGTTTCATGCCAGAGTTGAAAGAGAAAGTGGTAGAAAGCTCAAGTGTGTCAGATCAGACAATGGTGGTGAGTACAGGGGTCCATTTGAGTACTATTGCAAAAGCCAGGGCATCAAGCCTGAGAAGACAGTTCCGAAGACACCTCAGCTTAATGGAGTTGCAGAAATAATGAATGTGTCATTTAATAATATCATATTTACCTTCAAAATAATAATAATAATAATAATAATAATAACAACAACAATAATAATAATAATATCATATTTACCTAGAAGAGAGAGTAAAACGCATAATCTAAAACTTCCTTAAAAGAACAAAGGAAACAAACTTGGGTCTCACGCATTACTTTAAGCAACGGTCTCCACAGACTACAATGGATTTGTTTACAAAATTAAACAACCTTAAAGAGAAAAAAAGAAGTCGTCGTTGAAAGAAATTCCTTAACCATTGTTTACTCAAATATAACTAATTTAAGAACTTCATAGAAGTTTTGTCATCAATATTTTTATATTTAAATATCACTCCTTTAATTTAATTATTAGTAAAAATGCATGCCTACATATGAGTGTACAACATTAAATTCCTTCAATTTCTAGAGTTCAATTTGTATTTCAAATATCATAATCTGAAACGCTTACACTGCACATATATTTTGATGAAGTAAAACTTTAGTTTCCAAGCACAATGTGGCTTTTTCTCTGTGCTCATAAGCTAGTCAAAACTGTTTGTAAGCAGTTTTAACTTTTAAGTTAGCTGATGATATGCTTTTGTGTGCTTATAAGTTGACTAATAAGTCAGAAAAAATGAGTAGGTCTCAGCTACTTATTTTTAAGTCAATTTTTTTCGTTTTAACGTTTTGACCAGATAGATTATTTACAAAATTGTCCCCCACAATTTATGAATATTTACAAATGATTTGTCTATCATTTAAGTCATTCTACTTTCACAAAAAAATATTTGACTTATAAGTAGCTTATAAATTAAAAACAGCTTATCATCAATAAACCAATAATCAGTTTCTAATAAAAAAATATGGAGTAGTGATTGATATGACTTGTGAGTCCACTTCTAATTGATCTAAAAAGTAATTTTTGTCAACATTAGAGCAATTCACTTTTTCTTATTTTACGAGCTAATACTCCATGTCCCTTATTTAGTAGGCCGTAGAAAATACTACGTAATGATCAATTTTTGTCAACATTAGAGCAATTCACTTTTTCTTATTTTACGAGCTAATACTCCATGTCCCTTATTTAGTAGGCCGTAGAAAATACTACGTAATGATCAATTACTCCCTTTGTACCCCTAAATTTGGGACAAAGGTGTAAACATGGAAAATACTTAAGTAAAGTGGAATTATACTATTGATATTAAATATGTAAATAAGAAAAAATAAATATTAATTGAGGCCACACAAATATATGAAAATATAGAATAAATATGAAAATTAGAGTATATTTATTATTATTATTATTATTATTATTATTATTATTATTATTTATTCTTGATGTAACTATTGTAAACAATATACTTTTATTTAAACATAAATTTCTTATTGACTTATTTCAAAAGTTCAAATAAGATAACATGAAATTAATAAAAAAAGGGGTACTAAAATAATCACAAAAATGATTAAATTACCTCAAGTTGTTCATGCAGTCTTCTCTGCACCTCCATCTGCATCCTAATTGCATCATTGATGCGAACATTACTACTGCATCACACAAATCCATCTATACATATATATACACCACACAACATTTCCCCAACCAACTATAATTAAATTAAATTAATTACTCTTACTAGCATGCAATATATATACTTTCTTTATTTTTTTCTTTATTACTTGCAAAATATAGTTGATTTCTACACTATTCATGTGGACTACTTTAATTGTAGTTTTTTTTAATTAAACAATTTTTGGGCAAAAATAAATGTATTGGATACTTTGACTACTAATTAAATAAAATTGATACTAAATATTGATATAAAAATAATTTTATTGAATTTATTTTATATAATATTTACAAATTGTTCTTTTATCTAATTAGCATAGCATATAACTTTTACTTAATTATCGATCAAATGTTGAGAGTGGTTAGACTACAAAAACATTATTAAAACTGGACAAATACTCATATGCAGAGGTAGTATTTAAGATCTCGTTTTTTAATGAACATTTAATTTTAAAAAGAATAGCAAGAATCTTTTGACCTTGAAACCAAGTTCATATTATGACCTAAAATACATACGTTACCTCGTTGGTAAAATTGATTATTCGTATCTCATAATCCATCCAAAGCCCCCTACCCTCCAAAACGGCAAAACTCCACCCTAGCCTCCCTTTGCCTTTCCCCCTCCACTCACCCTAAATTGCCGATTCGAGGAGGGGAGATGGAGGTTGGGGGGAGGAAATTTTGGTGGGTTAGCAGGGTAGGAATCATTAATTTAAACAATGGAATATGTTAGATACTCCAAATTATAATATGACATGAGATTTCAATGTCAAAAGATTCCCACCGTAGAAACAGTGAAAATGTTATTTTTATTATGAGACGTATGAAAAAAAGAAAGTGAAATAAAGAGAAAAGAAAGAATATATATAGGGAGAGAGACATACTCGTTCATGTTGCGGCCGATCATTCCCGAGGAAGATGCTGAATTTCGTTGCAGTTCTAAAGTAGAAGCTGCGGTCCAAACAAAGTTAAAAAAAAAAAAAGACAAATGACCCAATGTATATATGTTCCCCACACAAAGCAATTAAAAGTATTATGATAATATTGAAATTAAACCAAATCACATTTTGGTTTGTTCGTTATTCCCAAAACTCTCTCCCAAATTAATCTTTTAACATTGCTTCTTTTGGTCAAATTTTGACCACAAAATGTGAAAAAATATACTTAATCCGTCCCATTAAGTCATTTTCGTTTCAAAAAATTGTGTCCCTTAAAGTCATTCCATTTTTATTAAAAAACTACTTTTATCCCTTTTTCATACCCTACCTCTTATCACATCATACCTTTTTTTTCTAATAATCTACACATCACATCTTACTTTTACCCATCACATCAAGGGTATTTTTGGAAAGTCAACACAAAATTATCCCTCCTTATTTTATCACTTTAGTCAAACCATCCCTATCTTTATGGGATGGAAGGAGTATTTAATTATAATATAAATTTAATGTTATTGAACTAATTGTAAAATATAATTTTGATATTTGAAATTATTATTCATTAATTTATGTATAATTATTAAAATTATACATGCATGGTCGAAGTGTCACATTGGCTGGTGAGCTGAAATTCAAATCCAAAACTCTTTTTGGGACAAGGAATTAATATTTGTATTCAACATTTGATTAAATAAAAAAATCAATTACTCAGGGTATTTCTAAATTTTGTACATTTTAATTTAAATAAAGTGTAAAAATGACAAATTTTGTGAGTATAATTCAAATTTTAGAGGTGAGTGTGACAAATAATGTAAATTAATTAATACAAAGTATGCATGTGTAGCAATATTTCCATTAAATAGAATAATAAATTGTGAACAAATGTTAGTGTTGCACTAATAAGTAAAGTGGTAAGAAACCCACACCTCTCTCAACATCTTTGACAGAAGAGTGATCATTGAATTCCTTGTGTGGCTGCTTTCCCAGTCTAAATTTCTGCATGTAATAAAATATAATTAATTAATTAATCAACCAAACGGACCAAAAGGGGAAAAGGGGAAAAGTAAAGTGTTAGTTCAATTTAGCTTAGCCTTGGCCAAAAAATTAAAGAGGAACAATCTCATAACTTAGTGTAAATTTCACTCTTCCATACTTTAATTTACAAAAGAAATACATTTTATTTCCATCACTTAAGAAATTAATCAATTCAAATATAGTTTTTCAAATATATATATATTTTATATCAATATTTGAATAAAAATTGAAAATAACACTCCGTGCGTATTATATTAGCCAAACAAATTAAATTAACACGCGGGTAAAAAAATTGATAAAACAAGAGGAGGTACGTATTACGTTGTTAATCACATTTAGCATTAGAGAAAAGCAACACCCCAGTTGTTCTGATTAGATTAAACATTTTAAAATATACTATGCAAATTTACATAATTGAAAACATCAAAAACTATATATCTATATATAGTGCTAATCATAAATGTAACGCGCGTTGTTTTAATTTCTAAAGAGCTTTAAATTATTATTATTATTATTATTATTATTATTATTATTATTATTTAGGAATTTAAGGTGAGTATTCAAATCCCAACATCTACAGACGAACATGTCAATGACGGAACAAACTCAATCAAAAACTCAAACGGGTGACGGGATAGAATCCCAAGAAATGTTTTAACAAATTAAAGCTAAGCTAAAAAGTTATGAAATTAGTTTCCATTTTTTCCATTTCTAATGCCTAACTATGATCCCATATTTAATCCCAATGACTTGAAAAACAACCAATTTTTTTTTTATAAAATAATTTTGGAAACAATAACTCCGAAAAAAGAAGAAGAAGCTAAGAATACGAGGCGACGATCCCCCCCCCCTCAAATTTGGACAGTACGTCGATCTCAAAGTTTGAGATCGAACTTAACTCGATCATCGTCCAACGGTACGTACTTGGGGGGTTGGATTGAAGCTAATAAGGGAGAAGTGATGAATATATACATACATATGTGTATATATATATAGATATATGTATGTATGTATGTATGCATGTATGTATGTAAACCTGGAGGTGGCTCTTCAAGTGGTAGAGGGTGAGACCCTTGACCCCCATCACTCTCATGATCGTCTTTGGTGTGGCTTCTGTGCGTCGTCATCCATAATCCACATATTCATATATGCATGAAATGAATACATCAATGATATGCATATACATATATATATATGTACATAATTAAAGAAACACACACATATACAGTATGTATACATACTGTCAGGACCGCCAAGCTGAGTGACGGCGTCGACGAAGCGTTCGTGAAGCTCGACGGTCCAGCGGAGGCGGGGCTTGGGGTCGGTGGTGAGGACGAGGCCGGAGTCCCCCGCCGCCCCTTGTGATTGGACGACCCCACCACACAGAGCTCCTCCTCCGCCTCGACCGCCGCCGCCGCCACCCTCGTGGTGGTGGTGATGGATCGATGAACTCGAAGGATGATTATTATGGTGGTGGTGATGATTCATACTTGAAGACAGTAGTTTCTTATTATTATTATGCTGCTGCTGGAACATATCAATTATTCCCCTCTCTCTCTGTCTGTCTCAGGCTAGAGATCAGATTCAAGAGATCGAACAAATGCGTTTGGAATACAAAAGTAGACGACAGATAGAGGAGGCCGGAGAGAATTGGTTCTTTATTAATTATATTGGTTCTATATAGCTGCTGCTACTACTACTATTAATAATAATAATAATAATAATAATAATAATAATAATAATAATAATAATAATAATAATAATAATAATAATAATAATAATAATAATAATAATACTTTTGCGCCCCCGGAGAATGAATATATGAAGCTAAGCTAAGCTAAGGTAGGCGGCCCTAATAGTAATAAGCAAAGCTATCAGGTACGTACGTAGAGCCGCTTTTGATTAATTGACCATATGTCTGTCTTGTCTTAATAATAAGAGTAATTTCAAAAGTGCGTCATAATAAATTAATCACAGTAAAAAAAAATAAAAGTCCATCTTCTGGTTCTTATTATTAATTAATCATTTAACTTAATTATTAAAGATTAGTTAGAAGAAAAGATAACACTTAACTAATTTTAAGTTCTATGGCTGCACTTTAGTTCCCTTTTTTGTGTGTGTATTCAAACATACATTACCTTAATTTTACAAATCCAAGTAAAGTAAATTAAAGTTAAGTGCTCCCTCCCTCCCAAAATCCATCTTCTCTGCGTTTAATAATCCTTCTTGGTCAAATTTTATTTAATTTGCCCGTATATTTATTTATAATGATAATTTAATATAATGTGATTTATTTTAAGATGCAGTTTCTGGTAAATCATTTTTATGGGGAAGAATTCCATAAACATGAGCCAACTATGATAAAAAATAGAGTAAATTCCGTAATTGGTACTTTATAAGAGGAGGTTTTCCATATTTAGTTCTCTATTATCAAATATTACCACTGTAGTCTTTTTTTAAGGGTACCTTTCCACAAATGGTCCCTTTTTTATCTTATGTCATGTTGGTGTTAATTTAAAGGCTAAAAGTATAATTTGACATCAACATTATGTCTAGTGATGTGTTCTGATATTGGTTAAGCGGATAACACAAAAATAATGACTATAATTGTGGGATAGGATTCTGACAAAAGACCACATTTGTAGACTATAGTTGTAGTAGAAAACGACTGTAATTCACAAACGACATAAACGGAATAGTCTTTGGAATTGTGTATGACAAAAAAGATATATTATCATTGTGAAATTACACTTTTAACCCTCAAATTAACACCAACATGATATAAGATCAAAAAAGGACTATTTGTGGAAAAGTACCCATAAAAGAAGGACTACTGGGATAATATTTGATAATAGAGGACTAAATAGGGAAACCCCTTTGTTATAAAGGACTAATTATAGAATTTACTCTAAAAAATATAAAGACAATGATACCACTTTTTTTGTAATCTAAATAAGAGCTCACATTGTCGCTCACGATTCACTATCACAATAGATTCGCTGCCAGCGCGGGGGCTGATGGATCGATCTCCATTGGTCGGTGGTCCACCATGCCACCACACTACCACCAAACTCCATCACACTATCAAAGTCCTATTTATATGATAAAAACAATGACACTTCTGTTTTGGGTAGAAAAAGCCATTGAAATTGGGAAGGATATTATAGTGTTTTGGTGTATTAGTTTAACCAAAATTGAAAGTAGTGTAACGTTAATTTTAGAACGCCAAACAATGTGATCTTGTTCTATTAGATGAGCTGAATTATAAGTTCTTTCAAAGATTTCTTTTCATTTTTTATCTGGATGCATTTGTTTAACCGAAAAGGCAAGAAATTAGATAGGCTAGGGTTTTCATCTATTTCTTACAAATAGAGATGTAACTCGGGGTCGTTTAGAAGAGATAATCAATAAAGAATTTCAAACTTCAAAGTCCCTTTTACTCTTCGGGTTCCTCACTAGGCGTTGCGTGTGTTTCCTTTCTCCTTCCTCGTCTCCCTTCTTCTTCCTCGTCTCAACTTTTCTAGATCTCGAAAACGCTCGAAGTCTTCCCTATCTGATACACGTCCGTATCGAGTAAATAGTCTTGAGTATTTTGCTTCAATTGTTTTTTTTACATTCAGATGAGTTCGCTCTTTCATTATATTCACGACCGATTGCCATGAATCAATCACCAAATCATTTAACTATTAATAGGATGGGGGGAGGCGTTGGCCATGAGTGGAGATTTTAGGAAGTTAGAGAGGATAAGAACTACTCCCTCTGTCCCATAAAGTGTTACTCATTTTGACTAAAGTTGAAATTAAGAGAGGGATAAATTTGTGTTGACTTTCCAAAAATACCCTTGATGTGATGGGTAAAAGTAGGATGTGATGTGTAGATTATTAGGAAAAAGGTATGATGTGATAGGTAGGGTTTGAAAAAGTAAGGGGTAAAAGTGGTTTTTTAATAGAAATGGGTAAGTGATTATGGGACGCAATTTTTTTGAAACGTGTAAATCTTTTTGGGACAGAGGGAGTATTTTTTATTTGGAATTCAATAGAGCACTATATATAACGTGTTTGAATAAACCAATGTCATCGAATTGGATGACATTGGCCACCAATGTCAATTGAACCTAACCGATTATTCAAATCAAGGTTTATTACTATAATACCCTTTGTAGTTTCATAATTGTGTAATGTTACCCTCATGCCTTCAAAACTTACGTAGTTCCCCTTCCTGCTTCTGATATCATAATCTTACTTTTATGTCCTAGACTAAAATACTTTTCAAGTCTTAGGTAACACCTCCAGTGCCCCATGTAGTTTTGGAAATAGACATAGTGGGTTAAAAATTCAAGGGGATGAGAGTTCATTTGCAAGTGGTCAACTGTTAGATTCAAAGTGGACCGGTTGTCCACTTGAGGGGGAGTGTTAGAGTATATCTGACATTGGAAGTTGAATAGAAAAGTAATCGGTATATAATCGTTTAGATTCAATCTTTTAATGTAGTTTAATTCAAGTGTCTTATTTTATCCAATCTAGTTATCCTTACCTCATCCTAAATTCTGTGAAACTCAATCTATTTAGAGGGTGTTTGGAAGTGCGCCGCATTTAATAATTTCGCTTCTGATTTGAGTGGAAGTCGTTTTACTCTGTTTGGCATGTTAGCTTCTGCTTATCACCACCACTATTTTGTACATAGAACACCGTTTTGGAGAAGCAAGTATGAGGTGCTTTTACTTTCAGCTTTTGTGAAAATCACTTTATCTACAAGTTAATCATTCCCAAACACCCTCTTATTAATTAAACCACTAGTGATTATATGCTCAAGACTACACTCGTTCCCAATCAAAGACACATAGCGTGCATAGTAATGATAACAAAGGGGATGGGGAGAAGGGGATAATGTGGAGGAGGGCCTTTTTTGACGGCCGGCCGGCAAAGAGAATTGAAGGACTACATACATAGTGGGATGGATATAGGAGAGAGATAGAGAGAGAGAAATGGGTTTACAATTAGGGCACTTAATTCTTTCTTTTAGCTTGTAAAGTGGATCCATCTCGGGGCCCGGGCCGCATTAGTACAATAGAAGAAGAAATAGAAGAAGAAGAGTTTTAATTACTTTCATTCTTTCTTTCATTTATTATATATTGTTCAAAACACATATATATAAGTCTCTTTTGTGGAATGCAAGATTGTCCGCACTCTCCCTTTTTGCACGTACTACTCTGATCTATCACTATATACCTACATACAACTTCTTCTTCTTCTTCTTCTACTAGTAGTAGTTACATTACATTGCAGTTGTGTTTTGTTGCTTTTCTTTCTTTTTTGTTTCTTCTTTTCTTTTTCCCATGTCAGAGGATGGATGCCGTTATTTTTTTTTTGTAAAGCTCATCATGTCATGCCAATATGGCCTTCTTTCTTTATACCCTACTCTCTCCTCCCTTCAATAACAATAATAATGCTATGGTTATACCAAATGATTGTACTTCTTCCGTCCCAAAACAGCTGTTTCCATTTTGACTTTTAGGAAATTTAAGGGATATGATGATATTTTAATTTTGTGTTGAATTTCTAAAAATATCCTTGATGTGATGGGTAAAAAAAGGAGGTGTTGTGTAGATTATTAATAAAAATGTATGATGTGATAGATAGTTCGAGAATTAGCAGGGGAAAAAATGGTTTTTTAATAGAAATGAGAAGGATTTTGTAGGACAAGTTAAAAAAAGAAAAGGGGAGGGAGTTTTTGGGATGAGGGGAATATTTCATTTATACACCCACGCTTTTATAGACACACACAAATACTCGATATCTATGTGTGCCTGTAAAAATCTGGGTGTACAAATGGGATACATCACTTGGTGTACCTCTAATAATATTACCTTTTTAAAAATATTCCCATTTTAGCTTGAGTGCTTCTATGGTGTACCTTGGTGCATACCATTTTTGTGCACCTTCTCACATAAACTTTTTTTTTATTTTTTATTTTCAATAAAAATAAATGCTCATCAAGGTAGTTCGATTTGCTTATTTGACTCATATATAGGTTCATGGCAGACCTTAGGGAGAAAGAATGAATTTGAAGTAGAAGATTCTTTCTTTAAATAAAGGATATGAAAAGATTAATGAGAAAATAAACTAATTAACAACTAAAACATATTATGCTCAATGTGCTAAAATGAGATTTTAAATATTATTATCTTGAAGAAAATTATAAAGCCAAGGATTGTCATCATATAAATGGAAATTGGAAACACACAATACCAAGTGGTATTACACAATGTCAATACTTTTATTTTGTCAATAAAGATACAGAATACACTATTTTTGTACAAGACAAGATAATGTAGGTATTCTTTTTACATGACCAATTCCACCTAACAATATAACTCTTGGACTCTTGAACATTTTTTGCTTGTCTTTGCACCCTTGGGACANGGGGGGGGTAAATGATAGCCAAACTAATTTGTAGATCATACAAAGCAAACAACAAAAAAAAGTAAGGTGTGGCACAAAGATGCTACAACACAAGTAATTATGAGATGTGACTTGCATAGTGTTGTAACACCTTCTATCCCGTTGATGGACTAACAGAAATACAAAAGCAATAAATGATAGACAAAAATATTTACGTAATTCAGAATAATATCTTCTAAATCCATGTAAGATCCCTTCAACTAGATCTTGGTAAAAATTATATTACACCTTCAAATTCAATAGATTCTATCTATGAATTATATTGACCTAATTTTCGTACAAATCACCAAACGTTGTTTGTGTTTGACTCCTTGGCGTGTATGTTACACCTTCTTCAAGATCTTTTTCAAAGGATAGATGTGTTGTCAACCTAGTTCCAGAACATCAAAAAACAACTTCTAAACTTCACGATGAACTCTCGTTCATATGATCGTGTGACTGCTCCAAGTTTGGTTATAAAGAACCTGAGCTATGAAATCTCACGCAAGTAGTGAATAATCAAAGGTTATGTTCTTAGATGTGTTCTTGGTGATTTTTCAATGATAAACAAGAATGGTGGAAGTTCGTAGAAGTTGAGAGACGTTATGGATCAAAAGGTTTGAAAAAACTAGCCGTTTGAAAGTTGAAACTATTGTACTATTTGAATAAATCTTCATTCATTCGAATAAACCAGTCCAGCGATATTTCCTAGACTGAAAAACCACGTGATTTAGTTGAATAATTTGGAATTTATCAAACTAAATCAGTACACTTTTAACCAGGAGAAAAATCACAACTTATTCGAATAAACCAAAGGTTATTGGGATAGAAGAGCAACTTCTCCATACAAAAACTAATCTAAAAAGTGTTTTAAAGATAAGATTATCAAGGAGTGAACCTTAGATATTCCATACTCTTTAACAAACAATCTAAGACTTAGATGACTTCCCAACCAAGATAACAAAGTCTTCGGTCTCGATCCTTCAAAGGATGTACGTTCAAGTCCCTTCTTCATAGACGAATATGAACTTGTTGAAACTTTTGAATCTTAGCCTTGATGCTCAATATGATGTTGGCCTTTTGTCATTATCAAAATCTAAAGGAAAATAGGAAAAAGACATTACAAATATATATATATATATATATATATATATATATATATATATATATATATATGCAATATATGATATAGCATATTGTCCA